CCCTACTACGCATCCTTCCCAAACCACTCTTCAGCATCTTTTGGAAATGTTCCCCTTGCTGCACTCAAAGTCTCTAGAGGCTGAGCTTGGTACTACACTGTATTGTTCTGAAATATGTAATGTAACGGTATGTTGATCAGCATGAAAAGCTGGAAAATGTAAAGATAAAGGATGCCTATGAGCAAGCAAAGAGGATAATAATCTGTATGCAGCAGATTGCTGATGTGGGACTTTTAACACCATGGGGTAGAAACTTGAAGAACAAAGGTTAGTATCACAGACACTTGTGAATAATTGACTGAATCAAACCAAAATTTTTCTGACAACCATCTCTTCCTGATGGACCAGACTTTACTTTCAAGTAGACATAATACATGCAGTAGGACCTGGTTTGCTATCTGTACTAGTACTTCATTAAGCAATAACTTTCAAAACAGACTTGATAAACTTCAGGAAATTGAAGATCCTGTGTTAACCAGGATATATGCCTTGTTTAGGCTGTGTACATTTTAAACATCATGCTTTTGCTCTAGGCATCACTGACAGCATTGTTTACCACTGGTGGCCATTTAACTGCAGAGTTTCTGGAAAACAGCATGATGATGAAGTGATAATAGAGGGGATCTGCTCATCTTCACTGAATGCTATCAAGTCACCATGAAATAAATACAGAAATGATAAATGGAAGCTACTCTGATTGTTACGAGGATGATGTTTTTCATTCATTTTAAGTTGGAAGAGGAGAAAGGGCAAGGTGGTTACAAACTGCAACCCATTTGTCTTGTACTGGTGTGTAATGAACCTGTTGGCTCAAGTGCCATTATTTTAAAAATGCTTAAGACAGCAGATGATTGCATGTGTAACTACAAAAAATTCAGATGATTAGAACCAGATATTTAACACAAAAAAATAATGGAATGTTGGTTTCTCTCCTCTGCCAAAGGGGTAAGGGAAAATAGGATATTTCCCCAGCTGCAGGTAGTAATAAAACCAGTGCTGCTACTGCAACTAGAGCTGCTTCAGCTTTGAGTTTGTTGCAGCAAGAAGACAGCAGACAGCACCCTTCAGTGAGCACTCACAGGCTTTTGATCACCTTTACAGAGAACCTATTTAGTAGACCTGATCTACTAAAAGGTAACTCTCATGCCTAGACCAAAATCTGCTCTAAAAAAAATAAAATCTTTGTACTGCATTTCCATACCTGTTATTAAAAAGATACATTTTGAGAAGAGCTGTCTTTCATCCAGTTGACAGTTTTATTTCTGATGATAGCACTTCTAATACTTTGTATTTTATCATATCTTTTGTGTTAAAGTACTTATGAATTAAATTAAATAAGCTGCATGGCACTACTGTGTAATAGGCTATGAAAGGGCTAGACACATTTGAAATGAGAGAAGGCACTTTGCAACCACACCCAGAGCATCCCAAGTACCTAAGGAAGGGGAATATAGCCTGTCTGGACATAGCCCTTATTAGGAAACTCATACTTTGTATACCTTCCTAGGTATGGAGACTTTGACACGGATCAGTGAAATACATCTGAGGCCATGTGGAGAGAGGTTTTATATCTCTTAGCTCTGTCCAAGTGGTAGGCCAGGTCTTCATGTGCAGTGAGTGCATATTGCCCCAGTGAAGTCAGTCAATTCATGGCTGTTTTCGTAAGATTCCCCTTGAGGTTGTTGGGTGGTGGGTTTTTTTGTTTGGTTTGGTTTGGTTTTGTTCGGGGGTTGGGTTTCTTTTGGCTTTTTTGGGTTTTTTTTAGCAGAAATCAGAAACTGATTCAGAAAGCTTCTCTGCTTGCATACTGGCTGATAACACACAAACTAGTACCCAAGCATGTAATATTTGAGATGTTTATCTCCCTTTACAGAAAAGATTTAAACTACAGCAGAACACCAGTTGTTTAAATAGGTTGGGTTTATCAGTGCACTACTGAAAGCCGCTGAACAGGGAGCTAAGGCTTCTTTCTGTAATAGGAAGAAGTTCTGTATTGTAAGGGTGGTGAGGCACTGGAACAGGCTGTCCAGAGAAGCTGTGGCTGCCCCATTCCTGGCAGTGTTCAAGGCCAGGTTGGATGGGGCTTGGAGCCACCTGCTCAAATGGAAGGTGTCCCTGCCCATGGCAAGGGGTTGGAACTAAATGATCTTTAAGCTCCCTTCCAACCCAAACCAGTCTATGATTCTATATTACAATAAAAGTAACTTGTTTAAAGGAGAATGGTGAGAAGAAATAAATTTGAAACAATGCTGAATAACATTCAAGTATGTCAGGACAGGTCCCTTTCAACCCAAACTATTCTGTGATTCCATACTGCTAACACCTGTTATTAGCAGAAGATATTTCTGTACTACAGTCATGATGAAAGACATACATTCTTAGAGCGGGTTAAAGTGATTGTGCCCTGATAAAAGATTGACAGCCACCCAGGGTAGACAAGGAGTAACTGTGATTGACATATGACTGGAAGCAGTGAGTCACATAAATGTGTATGATCTTCTAGGATTGTAATGTGGGTGGGTTAACAGACACAGACATGTAGAAGTGGAAAACAGTTGCTTGATGATGCACAGGATGAGTTTGAACACAAAGGTCTGCAGGAAGCACCCTGAAATTCATACGTTCCTTGTCTTTGTTTATCTTTCAAGAGAATTATAACAACAATAAGAAAAGTAGACACACACAAAAAGAATAGTCCAAATCCATGTTTTCTCCTTTTTCTCACAACAAAGAGCATATCAGGGAAGTCCAAATCCTTTTATGGTGCTCAGAACTGGCACAACCTTAAAGTTTTTGTAGTTTAATTCATGTAAGCATCCAGAAGTTTGTCTTTGTCCCCCCCCCCCCTCCTCTTAGACTTGAAAAACTAGAATAAATCTAGTTTTTCATGTTGGGGGTGGAAGGGATGGGTAGTATGGTGGGGGGGGAGGGGGGTGTAAAATCCTTTCAGCATTTCTGTGTTTTGTTTCACATTGAAAAGAAAATGGAGAACTTTGAAATGAAAAATTACTGGAAAAACTGACAGAACATTCTTGAGTCTCTAAAATTATTTGTTTAGGTTCAATTCCAAATTAAGACAATGGCTTGCTATTCTGTTTTATTTTTAAATGAGAATCAGGCTTCACTTGATAGATACGTTATCCTGATAGCCATGCCTGATCATGTCAGGATTAGTTGGCAGAAAAAAGTGAAAGGAGACTGCAACTTTTTTGAAAGGCAAAAGAAGGTAAGTTAACAATGTTTGGGATCGAAATAGCATTGTATTGTAACGTCTGTGTTAGTGGAGTTAAAGGATCATGGAGTTAAACAAAAAGAACTGATGTAATAACGAAGTGATGGGTAGTAGACATTTTAAATTGATACGTTGCCCAATGTCTATTTTTTAATTTGCTTCATGTTTGCAGCTGTTTAACTCTCTAGATTTTAAATCCAAACTTCTGACTTTTTCCTCTGACCTGATTCTTAGAATCCAGCAAAAGGATTCTTAGAACTTTTTAAGTATGCAGAAGCTGTAGATCCAGTACAAAAGTCAACAATGAAGATCAATAGCAATGTGATCTCCCATGTTCTGAAGGACATCTTCCTGCAATTTCAGTAGTTCTTTCCAAGATCCTGTCAAGGAGTGAAAAGGTTGTCAAGAGCTGTACAGTACACTCTTGCCCATTAACTAGCATTGCCTTCACTTAGACTGATGCATTTGGCAGCAATTGAACTATTTGAGTTCAATACTTGTAGTTTGTTTTGCCTAAACTTGGATGTGTCTATTGAAAGTCTCTATTTGGAGCTGTCTGGTCAGCATTTCTCTCTTGCTCCAAAACTTTATGTTCTTCCTTTCCTTCTGTCTGAAGCCTTCCTACTTGTCCACTCTGGCTTATCACATCCTCTTCAGGCTTGAGAATATAAAGTCCAAGCTCATGTTTCTGCACGGTGGCACATACATGTCTGTTCCAGGATGTTCACTACCTCTAAAATAACTACAAACCTGCAAATACTATTTCAGCATATGCAGAAAAATAATCTTCTTTTCTGGTCTAGCATTCCAGCTCAGTGTGGAGGCCATCTTCAGTCAACGTTAATAAGGAGATATATTAGAATTTACACAAAGCACAAAGGTGAATGATAGTGCTAGATTTACAAGAGAAAAAAACTGAGTGCTGGCCCTGATCAGCAGAGAGATTCCAAGCCATTTACTTTTGAAGGTTCCAGCAAGAAAGCAAAGACATTTTCAAGAGAGTAAAGGGCTAATCTGCTTCAAAATTCAGTATCTGCACGGGTGATGTTGGAGGTCTGGCACTGTGTGGATGAAATGCTTTGCTTCAAAACTGAATGTTTAAGCTGAAAAATTTGGTTTGCATGTGAGGTTTGTTTTGGTTTTTTTCTCTCTCTTAACTAATCTCCTGAGACCTGCATTGTCTGGGGTGAAATGGGGGATTTTATGCTAAATCAGTGAGTATGTCCCAGATATTAAAAATTGTGTATTTCATGGCTTGGTAATTTAGGCAGCATTATGATTTTGCTCACTCATGCTCTGCATTGCTTGTATATCACTTTTCCAATAAAATATGCTTCAAACTTCATTTCATGCATTAAACACCAAGAAAAAATTAACTCTTGGTACAGAAGCAAGAATAGCTAATTAGGCACCCTATATGATGCACATATTTAAAGGCACAATGTCATGTAAACGATTTGTTCAAAATGTCCCTCCTCTGCGTTATTTCTTGTAACAATCTCTTCTCTTGAATCATAGAATCATAAAATAGTTAGGGTTGGAAAGGACCTTAAGATCACCTAGTTCCTTTCCCACCACAATTTCTTTCTTTCTCTAACCTTCCACCTCTTCCTTTGCTCAAAACTTCTAGCCTGATCACAAATCAGTCATGGAACATCAGTCTCCAGTGGTCTATGTTACAATACAAAACTATATACCTGCTACCAAAAAGGGTCTTTTGCCCCCAGATTCCTGAGTCCCCTCCTTTAAAACTGATGGGGATGTAGTTTCCATCTCTACTTCTAGACCCTGCAGTCTTAAACACATATTCAAAATCACTTAGTTGGATCCATGTTTGACTGATCCACCTGATCCAGATCCAGAGCTCACCTACCCCCTTATGGTTGTGCATAACACAGGAAATCTCAATGTCCTCTATAGCAACTAAGACTATGTAAGAAGGTGACTCACAAGAAATCAATGCATCTTACTGCAAAATTACCACATTACTAGTTTTCACTGATTTTGCTAGAATTGTCACAACCTTGCTCCTTTCAGACCCTAAGAATCTTTATCTTCTCAGTGTTCTTTGCCATTCTGTGAAGGGTTCTATATTAGCTATTGGTGCTTGCAAAAGAGATTTTGCAGTTATCTTATGTGTATGAAAACATCAGTTCGGCATTGCACAGAGGTGAAAAAGGCAAAGGGAATGTTAAAAGTTATCTGAAAAAAGAACAAAATAAAACAGAAATCATCATTGTAGTACTGTCAGAATTCCTGGTGTATTTTCAACCTTGACAACTGCAAACAACTAGAAAGATTATCTGGAAGGAGAGCAAGTGTGGTTTAAGGTCTAGATTGGTTTATACAGGAAAAAGTACTAAATGGTTTCATTAGCTTGGAAAAAAAACAGGAGATATTATGCAGATCTATAAAAGACGTGGAACAGATAAAGTGAATATTTGTTATTTCCTGCAGCACAAGAACTAATAGGCACCCAGTGAATTTATAAGCTGTAATAAATTAGCTTTAATACAAACTAAAAGCTACACATTTCCCCACAACATATAACTGTGAAACTCAGCACCACAGGGTTTTGAGGAGGCCAAGAGCAGAAACAGGTTAAAAACCAGACTGAGCAAACTCAAAAGGATAAATACATTTGTGGCTACTGAACATGATGCTACACATACACCCTCGGTGTCAGTTCCTTCATGCTGTCACATGACCTGAAGATAGAAGGTTGTTTCAGGAAAAGGCCACCTAGAATTTATCCTGCTTCAAGACAGTACTTATGTTCTTCTATTGTTTATCAGAGGATACTGAACTAGGGGAACCTTTGGTCTGATTTTATACTATTCTTATATTCTCTGAATTTTGACAGTAAACACATGTACCTGTTCCTATACTTGATGTGTAGTGAATGATTTATCTCAGGGAGATTTGGACTTCATCTTCCTTGATACCATTTGCTCTCACTCAACTAGACATGTTGGTCTTGATCAAGGTAGGAGCTGCTGCTTCCAGGAAAAGTCCTGTCTATGTGAACTTTTTGAAAAAAGATGGTTAGATTTCTAAAAATTAAAAATGGGAAGAGAAGTAACACTGAATAATCTGGGAGATGTCTTTCTAATTGGATTTTATTAATGATAATTTCCTGCTGTGGTTATTTGCATACATATATTGAGCATAGCAGAACTATTTTCCTTCCTCTGGTTTTGTCTTATAAAACTCCAAAATAAAGAACTGTCACTCATGCTTGGGAAAGGGAGGAAAAGGTGGTGTGATGTAATTGAACAATACATAAAGTGGCTTAAATAACAGTTACAGGTTTAGTATATTATTTTTTGTGTCATAGTAACTTTCAATTTTCCTTTTACATCTTTGCTTTTCCACCGTTAAGAGCTCACGTGCTCTTCAGTAGTCATATGACCACACAGCTCCACAGACAGAGAGGGAAGGATGTGCAAAAAAAGTCTGTATGTGGGGCAGGACTCAGCAAACTAAATTGGAGCCTGTTTTTCTAAAGGCTTATTTATTGCAACAGGGAGATCCTCATATGGTGTGAAGCAGCACTGTGTTGATCTCAACAGAGCTACGTCATTTGGTGGGAGTTATAAATCTGGTCCCATGTGTGCAAGATTCTCTCCTTGTGCTGATGCAGTTATCACCACTGTGCCTGGGGAAAGCTTTGCTTCTGTCTCCTCCTCGCCTCTCTTTAGGGCCTAGCAACCCTCCAAATGCACTGTTTGTCCCCTTGCTCTTTCTGAAGGTTACCCATGCTCTCATGGCAAGCTGTGATCATGGCTGGGTGTCACTGCTTGTGGGAACTCTGAGGCCATGGGCTTGGTGGCAGTGATGGCCCAACAGTGCTGGCTTTGCCACAGCCTTACTGCCTGCATCAGGGCCCCAGCACTTACCTGGTTGTCCAGCTCACCCCATACTGCCATTTCACTGCTGGAAACACTCCCAAACCTGGGTTTGCCTCCACATACCAAAAAGCACGCTTTCCTCCCCACAGCACAGCATATTGAGGAGGTAGGAGTTACTCTCAGATGTGTTTCCCTGCCAGCAGTGGCTCATCATGTTACATTTAACTGGTTTGCTTCTTAACATATGGCAGTAGAACAAACTTGTTCCCATGCCGCTGCTCCTGCTCAGTTTATCATTTTAGAAGACATGGTCCATTTAACTAGCACTCCTTCAGCAGGCTGCCAGGCAGTATGTTCCTTACCCTTAAGAGCACAGGTCCTTACATGCAACTTCACAGTATGATGCACATCTTCTAAGAAATCTTACTTTGCTTGAGCGGAGTGGTTCAGCTGCTCCTGGTAGGATAGCAGCCGTCCTGCCAGGATGGTAGCAAAATTTTTTTCAGTCTAGATGTTGTAGGCTTGTAATGAGAGCATTTTCTTCTGTTTCATTTGAAGGGTTTCCTTCCACTTTTTTTGGTAAGGAGAAACTGATCTCAGCCATTTCATCAATGAAATTAATTATTATAGGTGTAAAAGCTGGCTCCTACAAATCAAAGTCAGTCCTTCAGCTTTTCTGCTATGCTCAGAGTGTCTGCCTCTTCCGATGCTGAACTGACAATTTGTTCATTCCTGCATCGTATAGAGCCCATCACAGGTTTGAAGTCTAGATGTGAAAAGGATTCTCACAAGCTCGCAGGGAGCCAGTTGGGTTCAGTTACACTTCTAAAGGACCTGCTTTTTCCTTTATCATACACATTTGCTCCATTGCTCAAAAAAGGCAGCAAAAATGTTTACATATCAATGTTTGCAGACTGTAATCTTAGATATCGTACTTACTGAAGTTTGAATTTTTTTAGCCCAGCTTCCCATTGAGGGAAGCCCATTGAGGGAAGCCCATTGAGGCTTATGCAATCTTTATGCAAAAGGAAAAGCCCCAAAAGGTTTCCCAAAGGAGGTGGAAGAAAAAAAAAAAGAAAAGAGAAAAAAAAACCAAACAAACCCACAAAACACCCACCAAACAAAAACCACCTGGTCAACAGGCACATGAATCAGAAAATTTATTTTGAATTAAGACAGAGAACTGGGGGTGTGGAGCTCCCATTCTCAATGGCTGCAGGCACTGTCCAGTTGCTTGTGGGACAGTGACAGAGTAGAGACAGGAGCTGTGTGTGTTTGCATAGTCCTTAGGTAGGTAGTAATTGGTAATGCTGAGAAGGGCAATAAATTAGCTGTAGCAGCCATTTAACAAACAGCAGCTTAGCAAAGGTTAAAAGAGAGTTAAAAATAGCAGGTCTTAGCTACTGCCCAGTTTTAAAGATTTGTGTGATACTTCTGCTGAGATTTGTGGGTTTGAAGGCTAAATTTTGGAAAAAAAAATCTTGTCAAGTTGACTGAACCTAATACCTTGCACCTTTGGAATTAAAGACATGTTCAGTGCTAAATCCTCCATTCAGGAGTGGCTGATGGTGCTGAGGACATTTCAGCATGAGCTGCAAGAATTGCATCTTTCTTTCCCTGAAATGAACCAAAGCTTTTTGATGCATAGTCCTGTGCTACGCGCTTAAGTTGGAAACAGGAATGAAATACGTGGATCAGCTTCCATCTACTTAGCTCACTGCAGGCTATTCCATTCCCTTTAACTGACAGGACCAGAGGCAACGTGCACAAGAGGAAATATGGGAGGCTTCATCTGAACATCAAGAAACACCTTTTTACTGTGAGGGTGACTGAACACTGGCACAGGCTGCCCAGAGTGGTTGTGGAGTCTCCCACCTTGGAGATATTCAAAAGTGGTATGGACATAGTCCTGGGCTCTAGAGGTGGCCCTGCCTGAGCATAGATTTGGACCAGATGGTCTGCAGAGGTAGCTTCCTTTTCCAACCATTTTATGATTCTGTCATAGATGACCATACGATGTTAAGACTGATGCATAGTTTGCCAGCACTATGTTTTTAGATTGTTGCTGACAGCATTTCATGCATGGTCTGAGCCATACCAGGAACGACTGTCAGGACACATTAGAACAGGCTGCTCTAGGCATGGTCCACCATCCCATCTGTAGTGTGTTCAGGCTTCCTTACATGGAGAACTTCTGGATTTGGTTCCAGCTAGAGCTCAGGAGTGTTCTGACATTCAGGCAACTGGGGAACATGGCACAGTATGCAAAACTGGGAATGAAACTACCTGGTAATATTCAAACATCTGAAAACCTCTTTACGTTGCCTTACACTAGTGCTCCCACCAATAAGAATTAGGGCCCCTAACATGAGAGAGCACTGCTAATGTCATTGCTGTTAAAAAGTCAGTGTTTCCCTGCTGCTACCCTATTGCGAGAAATCACAGCAGCTCCTTATTTTTAGAACAGAAGTGCAAATTATCAGATATCATTGTGCAGTGCTATGCCTGAATAACTGTTATCTTTTTAGGGGCGTTAGTATCTTACAGTGATATTTAATTACCTAGTAAGTTGAAACAGTAAAGTGCTTTCTAAATGCTAAGTATTAGTATTACAAAGAATAAAAAAGTACAGAAAAGGAAGCTCTGCCTTCCTAAATTCCTATAGGCTATGCATGGAAATCAGAAAGGACTGAAGCAGATATTATCTCAAACCATTTTAAAAAACAGATGTGCAAGCTCTGTCTGTGCTGACTGAGCAACCATAGAAATGAATTCTTTACAAAACACCCTTCTGCAATCAGACTGCACGTCTTCCTTCAGCATCTGTAGATCACACACAAGCCCTTGCACAACACATGTGGACATTGCTAATAAGATTTGCTCTTTATCCATGCCAAGTTTCATTATTCACTGAGAAGGCAGCTTCCTGAGCAGAGGGACGAGCTGGATTGTGGTGGATGCTGCTGATATTAGTAAGAAACTTGGCAAGAATATGGTGGAATATTGCCATTATACAATAATGTTTTTAAAACAAACAAAAAAAATCATTTCCTAAACTCTTTGAAAAGCAAGGGGCATAATTTATGGGAAATTATTTGTGTTCAAGAAGGTGGCAAGTCAGTTACAGCAGGACTTCACAGAACTCACTGAAATGATCATCACAGGCAGGTAGGAATAAAAGCTAAGGCTCCATTTCCTTGTAAGATATCATGAAATATTTTGGGGCATATTTCTCCCCTCCTGAGTGCACAAAGAATTAGTTGCCTTGGCTGGAGAATATGTCCTCATAGTCATACACTGTAGAGTTATAACCGGTTACAACTTGTTTTAAAAGTGCTTCTCTGAGGACAGATAAAGTCTTTTGGGTTTGAATTTTCTTCTTTTTTATTTCTCTGTTCTCCTGCTGCTCTGCAATTCAATTGCTGAAAATCTCGTTTACCCAGCAGCTGAATTCAGATCCAGCCATGGTCTGTATTCTCTGCTGTAAATTCTAAGGAAAGAGTAGCTGCTTGATTATTTCATAGATTTTTTTTTCTTCAGTTTGCCAGTTTCATTATAGGTCATACCAGTGTCCTTCCCTATTTCTGATATTAAGGGAAGAGCACAGCCATGTCTGCCTTACCTTGAAGACGACTGGTTCTTCAATGCCTTGAAAATTTTTTGAGTAATATGAATGGTATATTTATGTATAAACCCACTCCCAACATTAATATTTTAACTATCTAGGTGAAATATTTCTTACACTTGACAGATGTAAGACATTGATAACCAGATAGTAATTAAATAGTTTTAAAATAGTCTTTTTGTGCAGAAACTAGTGGCCAGGCATCCAAAGTAGCATTAAGGGGTTTTGCCCAGGAATACCCACACAAGTTTATAAATATACATTATTATGTATCCACTATTAATAGATATAGTCCTGCAAATTACACAGCAATTAACATTTTAGGGGAGCTTCATTTCTGCTGGGTGGTAGCCAGGTGCCAGACCAATTCAGTCAACAAGCCTAATCCCCTGTGTTGCTGAGTCAAATATTTTTATTCCATATTTTTATTCATATTAGGAAGCACCTGAGATTTAAACAGGATTACCCATGATGTAAGACAGTATTAAATGTGAGTGAGTACATGGCACAATTCAAAACAGGTGTCTCAGTGGGATCTTGGA